AAACTAGCGACAGTTTTAAAGGGATTCGCAGATAATTACTGGACAGGCTAAGGGTTAAAGTAGTAATGTATGCGAGCCAAGCAGAGATGAAAGCTGTTAGCCAAGAATCCGTTAAAGTAAAGATTGAAGCAGGTGAAGAGGAACTGAAAATAGAAATTAAATTAGAAATTACCTATGAAATAGAAAACAAATTCGAGGCTATGGAAGGCAGAATAGACGCTATTAAAAATAAAGTTGAACACATTGAAGAGAGAGTTTCTGCTGTGGAACAACAAATTGATGACAGAGTTACTGCGGTCACCAAAGAAGTTGATACCTTGAAGAAATTCGTAGCGACGGCAGAGAGCAATTCCGATGGTTTTAAATTTTTACATATGCCTGCTAGTCCCTTACTGAAGCTATCCACGTATGATGGAAAGAACTCATGGCAAGTATAAAAGTATATAAGATCTTTCTATAGTAGCAGATGTGAATGGATGCGATTCCCAAGCTAAGGCCTGTGATCTCACTGCTTCTTTTGACAGCAGACGCAGCGAATATCCTTCGGACTCTTTCCGAAAACCAAAAGCTGCGCCAGACAGAGCCTTAATTCCGACTTAGAGGAGCCTTCATTATTCCGACGAGTCTTGATTATTCGCTCTTTCGAATCTAGCTCCGGGGGAGTCTTGATTATTTTCTCTTTTCCTTTTCTGAGCTGTTTCTTTGAGTTCCATTTCGATTCTTTGAATACTGTGTCATAGAATAGCTGTGTTATATTAGGTGTTACCTTTTTTGTATAATAGTACTGTAATATTTATATAAAATATAAATCTATTTTATTTATTTACTTATTCTACTAATGTCTTGTAATTATGAGCTGTGAATTTTCATTAGAATTAGTATATAAACATAAATTTTTCCATGTAATGTATTATTTCAAGTTTGCGAAACAAAATGTTGATCCTTTCGTATAGAAGAACCTCGAGCGATATTTGGTATCATTTTATCACTATTTTAAAAAAAAAAAAAAAAAAAGGAAATTACTGGCATTGTCAGCTGACAATTTCCTGTTTTTTCGGGATCTACCTCCAATCTAAAAATTTATTTTTACATTGTCCTTTGTAGTAGCAAAGAACTATCAATAATAGTAATAAAATAATCTTATCAAAGTGAGTTTAGTTTTCATTATTTTTCAACTTTTATCCCTTTTTTATTCCAGAATTTTATTGTTGTTCTTTGTAGAAAGGTTTCTGTTTAGTGAATCTCGGAAGTACAGTTGAAAGAAATCGGTCCAGGTAATAAGCGGTTTCGTTGAGTTGATTTCAGTGATTCCACTTCTTGTTCAATCCTTTCTGCTTTTCATCCAAACATTAAACACTATCCTCCACCCCCCTGAAATATTTGACAAAGAAATAGACTGGATTAATGAAACCAATACCTTGGAGTCACCCTAGACCAAAACTTACCTTCACAACCCACTTCCGCTCCATATCACACTCCTACCTCTTCTTGGTAGAAGAAGCACTTTCTCTACAAACACAATTACTTTATATCGCTCCATACTTCGTCCAGCCCCCTTTATGCACTCCGATTTAGGAACATGCAGCTAAAACCAATATTAAAATTACGAATTTCACAAAATAAAATTTTACGAGAAAATATCAATGCTCCTTGGGATATTCCAAACACCTAGTGACCTTCAAGTCAAACCTATTCAAGAGTATATTAAACGATTAGCGGTCAACTTCTTTCATTCAGTACAAACCCACAGTAATAGCCTTATTAGCGCTCTCGGACACTCCCCGCATCCCCGTGAAAAACATCGGTACCCGAGTGACATCCTACTCACATAAGAATTACAACCTTAATTGACTTCAACCTAAATTGACTCTGCGGTCTGTCACCCGCTATTACATCTTTTAACGACACTGACCTCACCCCCCCTCAATTCGCCGCCGTTAGCGCGGACCTGACTCTCTTTTTCCCCTCTGCCACACCTCCTTCTACACTACTCTTCTTTCTTTTTCTTAAAGATTGTTAGCAGAAGCCGAGTAAAAAGGTGTTTCTACATCTTGACACTCGAGAATAAAATATGATCTGTTTTAATTATTTGGCACGTAGGTTATTAGTTAGGCCTTCATGAACATGAGAAAAAACTTTCGTCGAAGCAACTCGAAACATCTAAACTCAGTCGCGGCAAATTGTGGGTGAATGTTTTATATTGTATTTGCATTTTATGATAAATATTTCTTAAATTGCTTTGAAGTAAGTGAAATTATATTTCCTGCAAGAAAAAACATTACTTAGTTCCATCATTATTTCGATAATAACTATGTAAGATGTTCATGGAATCAACTATTTACACTTCATTCAAGTTGCGTCATTGAATTCGAATTTATACAGTATGTTTGCGTGTAATTTCTGATAAATTTTTATTTGCAGAATGTAGTTTTTCTATTGAAGAATTGTGGAAATTGTTGTGGAGTTTCTCGGTGCATTCATTTCCCCGCTTATGTGTTTCATTTGAATCACAGTATTCGAATTATGATGAGGTGTGAACGTGAACATCTATTTTTTAAGAATATCTGTTCTTTTCTGTTATAGAAAAAAATAATAAGCAGTTTATATGCTACTACTTTAAAATGGAGGGTTATTCACCGTATTTTTTATGAGTAGTGATGATTATGGCACTTTTGAACGATTTTTTTTACAGAGAGTTTGCATATCCAAACGTAAGTGCAAAGTAAATAGTTAATTGCAAACACGTAAATGTCTTAGAGGAAGTAGTCTGATCTAATTTTGCGTTTGCGAAAATGTATGAAAATTTATTTTTCAGGATTAAATATTTAACTTGTCTTCTAGTGCCTGAATGTCTTTAACACAGCTGTGCTAAATTATAATCATGAACTCTGTTATCATTGTCCCATTTTTTGTGCATTAGTTATTAGAAAATGAACATATAATAGTAGTATTTCTACATCTCATTTAGACAGATAAATTATTTTACAGTTAAATAACTGATCTATCTTACAACAATTAATATATTGAAGGATATTTTCACCTTGTCACTTAAAAATGAGAGTTTTGGACTAAATTTAGTATAATTATATTATTGGTGAAAGTTTCATTAATTTCTTCATGTAATAAATAAAGCTGTCATCCATTTGGATGGTGCACATGATTCTACCAATTTTTTGTTTTATATGTGAAATTGCATACCTTTGTTAAAGTTAATTATTTGTCTGTTGCAATTTTATATGCCCTGTCAAGATTTTGACAGAATCTGCAAAATATTAACTTCTTGCTACAATTAATAAGCAAAGCATTCAATTTTCTTCTAATTGATTTCCCATACGCAGTGTTATGCTTAATGTGAATTTCTTCTGCAGCATTCTATCTAGTATTTTTGATTTTATTATATAGGAATAAATGCATTTTTGACAGTACAGTGACATTATGTAATCATAGAAAGGTGAATATTGGCAGCTTTCAAATATCCATAATTAAACAAAAACATTTTATGCTAAAAAGGGCAAAAATGCTAACAGATGGTAATTGAATATATAAATAAGTTGGGGTTTAATAATACATAGCTACAAGGCAATAAATTACTTATTGAGTGCAAGGTGGCAATGTTTTTTAAAATGATTTCCAAACTGTCGTAAGTCAGCAAACATTATCAGCATATAAAAAAAAAACATATTTTTTAGGAGTTTAAAATACAAATATTAATTATTAAGTAAGAATTGTGTGAAGCGTTAAAAGAAATAAATATAACACTTATCTTTAATGAAATAAAACACTTATCATTTAAAAAAAAAATTGTGTAATTTTTTATGCTATTTTTCATGTAGACAAGGATTTCTTTATCCTGGAATAAAGGATAAGACAATTGCAGCAACTAATCACTGGGTAAAGGCCATTTTCACAATCTCCCCAAAACAGTTAAAACTTCAATGCACACTAACAAAAATCAAAGAGCTATTCCACTTCTATTATTTTAAAAATAAAAGCAGTCAGAGAACACATGATCAAGGAAAAAATATCTCATTACCCCATTTGATAAAAATATAGTTAAGGGTGTCCCTTGGCGATTGGCCAGCAAGGCATAATTTCAAGATGGGCGCTATACAAAACCAAAATAGCAAGTCAAAGAATTGCACAAATTCGGTATCCATGTACACATCGATCTATTTTCACTTAAAAAAAATCAGAGAATTGCACAAACTCAACATTGCACACTCCCTTGACTTTGTGCATGTACACATCAATCTATTTTCACTTAAAAAAAATCAGGAGAATATGCATATATTGTCAAAACAAGTCTATCACCAAACTGATAAATTTGTAGTCATCGAACTCATAACTGCATTTTAATCGACGATGAATACATAAGGAAATATCGACTTAACCATATTCAGAAATTTCTGTGTCTTCAGTCTGTGGCACATAAAATTCCTTAACAGCATCCAAAAATTTTCTAAAATTATTGGAATTGGAATGTGCATACTGCTGTCACCACATAAATTCACAAAAATAAGAGTAAAAATTATCCTCCAAAGTGCTGGACTGTCAGTGGCGTTTCTTGTGTGAACCTCTCTTGTGACAAACCCATTTAAAGCCATCTGAACGATCTTCACATTAGACCATTTGCATTTCCTTCATACAAACAGGACACTTATAATGACTACTAAGTATACCTTCATTAACCAGTCAGTTAATGCTTCTTTCACCTTTCTTTCCAAATTGTACAGAAACTTTGGATTAATCTCTTCACATACAGCCATTTTACAGTGTACAGCACAAAATAAGCAACATACTTCCTAACTGACAAGTAAACAAAATAAGCAACATACTTCCTAACTGACAAGTAAGTCCCTGCAAATATTTTTCTGTCAGTCAAATTCACCGCAATCACGCAACCAATCACGCCATAATAGGGTTTCCTACTCAGGTTACCATAAATGAAATGACAATTTGACAATAAATGAAGCAATAACTTGGCAATAATCCAAGGAGCACCCTTAGACTAACCAAATGCATTCTCAAACAAATTGATTGTTCTTAGTGCAAAAATTTGTAATCTCCAGATCTCTGAATGAGATTTATATCACATTATAAATTAATTAGCTCCATTTATGGATTTTTGGGTGCATGTTCATTTTCAGAAGTAATGAAAATAAAATAATTTGGACTTCAAAAATCTTGAAATCTTTCTGACATCATATTTACAAGTAATAATAGTTGAAATGTATTTGCAAGCTATGTAAAATTTTTTTGTGCTTGATGCAACCCTTAGACTGCCAGGATGACACCACTGTTCTTTAATTTTTTTTACAAGACTAATCATAATTATTTATATTACTTTTTCCTTATGCAGGTGCCATGCATTTTGTTGGTTTTTTTGGCTAATATTTTATAAGTGGGGTAAGTTGGCACCAAACTATTTTGGCCTTCAAAATTTGGCGTATTTTTTGGCAGCAATGAAAGCACTAAAATGTGATTTTTAAACGTAAACATAACAGTAACTTTTAAGTTTTGCTGTAGTGAAATGCCATTATTTTATGTAAGCAGAATAGTAAAATGAGATAACAGCTTTGCAAGTAAAAACATAGTTATATCTATGTAATTCATCATAAAATAGTAGAATGAACAATTTCTTGTAAATAATCATTGAGTAAATAAATATATACATTTATCAAAGCAGAGCACTGCAAAGTGAGTTTTAAACATGAATAGCAGATTTTGTTTGTTTGCAGTGGTGAACAGCGATTATTATGTGCAAACAACAGTTATTATTATGTGCAAACAGAATAGTAAATGAAATTGATTAAATGATAAAACAAGGTCATGGAATTCAACATGATAAACAACTTTCATTCAAAAACTTTAAATATTCCACATCTTTTGATTGCCGTATGCAAGAAACAAAACTAAAAAAATAATTAACTAAATAAAATTAAATGAAAACATTCATAACTTTACGTCATCTGAAATCCAATATTCTCCCACCAACAATAACTTAACCTTCTGCAAATATTTATATTAATATAATAACAAACACAGTATTTCAAAATTAAATTTAAAAAAAAAAATCTTCTGGCTGCACTAAACTCGCACTCTTACAATTATCGAAATAAAGCTCTCTAGGTTTGCTACAAGAAAACATACAGCCAGAAACTACAACCAAATCAAAATCACACCAAATAAAAACTTGCCAAGTTTGGTGCTCACCCCGATTATGGAATATTAACCGGATTAACCGTTTTTTTTTATTGTGAATGCTCAATTAAATGTGTTAAATGAAACATGCACATATACAAATTTGATCCCCAAATTCTGCTATCATTGGATCTCGGCGTATGTCTGGCTACTCTTTCTCATGTGCCAAAAAGCGTGCAGGATGGTAAACTACATTATTTAGTTTAAGATTTTTTTTTAGGCATAAAACTGGATTTAACATTGAAATTAATTGCATTTTTTTAAATTTTTGATTTTTTTTACATTTAATTATAATTTTTTATAAGCTTCTGAAACTTAAATGGTAAACATGTTGAGGTGTTGTGATCTGAAATTTTCTGTTTGAAATTTAATTTTTTATTGTTTTTGTATGGTGGAAATGGGGTATTTCATGCATTTAAAATAGAATATTAAAATGTTTAAATTTTTGGTACTTTCAGATTATTCACACCCCTTTCTGCAAAATTGCCAACTCTTTGGCGACTAAATTTTTGCTTAGCTAACATGTGAATGGCAGCAGTCATTTTCAAGATATCAGTATACTAAAAATTTCGTAAAAGAACAGCTAGTGAATAAAATGAAAAAAAAAATCCCTAATAAAACTTTTCTCTTTCAAGAAATCCTTATTTATTTATTTTTTTAATTCTCTTCATTTACACAGTGATTTGTTTTCACCAAAAAAATCAGATAATTGGCTTCATATACAAGCTTGGCATTCCACAAACTTCTCCAAACGTACACAGTGACCTGTTTTCACTTAAAAAAAGTCAAAGTCCGGAATACCGAATTCTAATACTTTGCTTATAATTTTTCGCATGGCATTTCCATAAAATTTGATAGTTTGAGAAACGCAACTTCATTTTTGCATTCTCTACTATTGTCCCAAATGCTTCTTTTCTGAAGAAATGCAGTGTGTTCTTTTCCTTCAATCATGAAACTCCATAGTCCCATTATACTTCATTACAAGCAAAAAAAATAGGTTCTTTTGTGCTGTCGGGACCGGATTGTGAAATGTGTGTATGTATGCATGCATAAATGCACATGTACATATATACATTTGTGAATCCAATCCCAATAACCTATCAAAAAATATATTCAGTGCAAAAATAAGCAGTGATCAGAAAATAATCAGCCAGTCTTGATGATGAAAATTTATGTGTATATGCTGAATGTGCATATATATGTGGGTTGCTATGTAAATACATTTTGGTGACATCATAGCTTACCACATTTTGGCAGCATAATACATTATCTTGTAAATGCTTTTTGTAAGGGGATATGCAGAGAATCAGAACGAACTAAATGATTTTGTACTGAGAAAAGTTAGTATGAATTTTTTTAATGAAATTTCCTGTGCTTATTTCTGAATATTTTAATATTTCTAGATTCATAAATTTGAGATGTAGATGTTTCCCAAACACAGCTTCCTTATCTTTCGTGCTGCACTCTTGAATATATTATTCCCTTTACACATGGCGTGGAGGTCACATGGAAAAAGTAATGCAGAGCTTATACAGAATTTAAAACGTAAGTTTGACCCATTTTTATGTATTGTTCAGAATTACACAAGCATTTCATATAACAGGTCTATAAACATTAGATTGTATGTTGCTTTGTAGGCAGTTTGATATAAATAGACAATTTGTAGCCAGTTGTATAGCTAGAAAATTGCTTATTTAGTTAAAAAGTATATACGGGATGTAAGATAAGATCTTTTGGAGTTTTTGAAAATGAGTGCATTTTCAAAAAGTGTTATTTAAAGTCTTATTAAAGTCATGTTATCATTCTTGAATTGGACTTTTGCTTTGAAAATTTTCGCTACTTTTCCATTTCGCCGGCGCAGGTGATAAAGTCCCTAAATATGATACAACCGGCTCCAAATGGATTTTCTGGGGTGGTGTTAACCTTTTCCCTTCACACTTTCAAAACAAAGTCGCGGTCAAAAATGGATGGAAAAAAACCAATGAAAATTTGGGATTGGCCGAGAAAACAGGAAGAATCTGTCAGATTCTTTCAAGCAAAAGACATTTTGCCTAATATTGCCGGCAATTTTAGACAAAATATTATTTAATTTCCTGATTATTAACACATGTGGCAATCTGGTTATCTGATTATTAACACGTGTGGCATCTGGTTAGTATTTAGGTGAAAATTCAGTGGCGCTGCAACCTTCAATTTGTCACAGTAAAAGAAGTATCTTGAGTTTTTTTAAGTGTATGAGGTTTATTTTTGGTTGAGTGAAGAATTAACCTCAGTTAAATAATGTGAAAAAGAGTTGGAAATCAGTCACGAAACAGTTGTGGACTCGAATAAGTATGTATGCGAGGTTTGTGTGGATTCTTTGCTTAAATGTCAACAGCAGAAAATAGGCGGACCTGGAATGATCACCGAAGTGAATGAGAGGTATGTTTATGAAATGTAAAAACATTGTGGGACAAGTTCTACCTCAACAGTGGATCTTTGGTGGAGTTTGCTGTAAAAGAAACAAATGTTTATTTGTGAAGGTGTAAGACCGATCCATAAGCAGTATATTAGAAGAAATTAAAGAAAATATTGGAAAAGGAACTATAATATATTCCGATTCATAGAAATATACTTCACTAAAAAACTGGGAGAGGAAAGTGTCGGAACATTTCAAACTGAACCATAAATACACTTTTGTCGATCCAGAAACTGGAATGCAGATACAAAAAGTAGAAAAACTGAGGGGTAGTGTCAAATGGCAAAATAAGAAACATAGAGGAACGGCACATGATCATCTGGAAAATTCTCTCGCAGTATTTATGTGGAGAAGGGGAACAAAAGACCCGTTTGAAAAAATTTTAAACGATATTAAAATGTTTGTGTCTCCAAAGTAAAATATTCTTAAAAGTAACATTTGTTAACATTTTTTTTTATGTGTGTACTGTGTGTTGTTGTCAATAAAATTTGCTTGACAAGATCTGAAGCATTATTAAAATTTTTTTACATGTATACTCTGTGTTGTCGGCAGTAAAGTCCGCTTGGTAAGATTTACGCAGGCGAAATGGAAAAGTACCGAATTTTCTTGTACTGTCTCATCTACTGTATTAGGCTAAGTTCACGTTGACTTAACAATTTAAAGTTGTAGATTTTTTTTTTTCCTGTGGTTTAAATTTACTAAAAGAAAAATCTCATTATCACTGATTTTACTTGAAAGCTGCACAGCTGAAAGTAAAGTATCGTATTTGACGGCATGTAAGATGCACCCTTATTTAGAAGGCCACACGTAAGTAAAAAAAGTTTCAATAGTCCGCACGATAGCATAATAACTTAAAATGTGGTTTCTTTTAGTTCTCACGTTTCGTAAAAGCCAAATAAACAATCATTGAATGCAATTACCAAACATATTTTTACTAAGGAAAATTACCAAACGGGAAGCTATTTTGAACATGATATGTAAATTTCAATAGTGAATAAATGAATGAACGGCAAGCAATCAAACATAACACAAAATAAAGCAGGAAAAAAAAAAAAACCCACAGATTCAAGGAAAATGTTGCCTATCATGAAATTAGACTTTAATCACTTTCAAAACCATAAAAATCCTTTTCACTATCAAAAACGAGAATATCGTCATCACTACTGTTTCCGTCATCGTTAGTATCACCTTCTTCGAATAATGAATGCGTCGTCTTCTGTTCCATCAAGAGCATTACTGATTCCGCACTTCTTTACGATTACTTCAGCCTTTACGTCCTCCCAAGATCTTTTTACTCACTCGCACACTTGTGAAATAGAGGGCCGCTTCATTCTACCTGAGGGTGTGATGTGTCTCTCCTATCCGCTTGTTCCATCGTTCTCGCAATTTTTCCTTAAATAGCTTATTCACAGATACATGTAAAGGCTGCAGTTGGCTAGTCAGTCCACCAGGAATGACAGCTGTCTGGGTTTTTACAGAGTAGCACTGAGTCATAGAAAGTCTATGTAAAGAAGGAAGGCTCCATAGACGTAATGTGACCGTCGAATCTGTTGGAACTTCGACATCAGCTTCGAGCTTTTGTGCTTTTTGGCGACAGATATTTCATGCATGCGCAAAATAATTATGGCAGATGTAAAAAAAGTGATGTGTGTCTAGATCTTTATCCGGGTTAAAAATAGCATTCAGTATTGAAAGTTAACCTGTGTCCTTCACGTATAAGACGCAGGTAACTTTTTTTAGACCAAATTTAGGAAAAAAAGTGTGTTTTATATGCCGTCAAATACGGTATTTATGAAAACTTGACTGACATCTATCTGAAAACTTTCCATTGAAATTGAAATTGCAGCGTGTAGAATTGCTTATCAAAAATAAAGAAAAATTGTGAAAATTAAGTGAACAGTAAAGTATGCAGTGATAAAAGTTGCATAGTAGTGGTTTATTTTCGGGAGCTGCTTTTAGGGAAAACCTGTTAAGTGGGTCATTAGATGTATCAAAGACATCTATTAAACAAATCACTTTTACAAATTAGATTTCAAGTAAACTGTGCAAAATGCAATTACATTGTGTGGTACTTTGTTAGACGGTTCTACGGATTTTTGGCGATTTACAATGGCACGGTTTTTACAATCGTCAGCCATCTTGAAAAACGCTATTTTTACGTATTTTATGCATAGTAAAGTATTCGAAACTTGAATATTGTTAAAAATAATGGGTTAATTTTTTGTTGAAAACGTTGTTTTTTAAGATGGCTGGCAAATGTAAATAAATACATTTACTAAGATTATAAAATACTAAAGGTTAAATTATTACATCATATAGCAAAGAAAAAGAATAAAAACGTGGCACCAACGTGAAATTGAATTAAAATATTACTCAAATTGAATATAGAATTAAAAATATCATACCAACATTTAAAAGAATTAAAATATTACTTAAATTCAAGTACTTTTAAAATAAGTTTCATACTATATAATTATTTAACATTAAAACATATGGGCAATAAGTATCTCGGCAGTTTTTGAAAACAGTATATTAATTTCTGGTACTATTCAGTTTTGAGAATCGTAAAAATATTGCAGCGAAAATGTATGCGCAAAATCTAAGAAACATGCCCATTTAACAGCACGCCAAATCTAGCCTATGCACAGATTTCAGATTGCGTAAGTTTATATAGTTCTATATTTCTTAAGACGCAATTGAAATACTAGTTTAATTTTTAAATCTTGCACAACACAACAATTTACACAAACAACAACGCAAAAATAACAATTTGGGAATTGCCTATGATGAAAAGTCTGCAATAGAATTTTGGGTAAAGTGCAGAATCACCCACTGCTTAACGTGGTTTTAAGAAATGCACATACTCAGTATCCATGTACACATCAACCTATTTTCACTTTAAAAAAAAGTCCTAAAATTGCACAAGAATGGCACTGTGCACACCCTTGACTTTATCTATGTACACATTGACCTATTTTTACTTAAAAACTAAAAGACAATTGATAAAAATCCAATTGTTTTTATCCTTGTAAAAAGCAGCAAACAAATAAATGGGCGATTCTGCACTTTGCCAAGAATTTTTTCAAAGAAAAAGCGTCATTTATTATAGAAAACTATGTTTGAATAACGAACGAGATGAAATTGTGCTTTAGCGATAACTTGGTAGTGAAACAGCAATGCAGGCATCTATTATGTTTAGCAATTTTTATATAAATTATAATATTGATTTGAGATAGTTATTTACTCTTATGCTTCCATTCAGTCATGTTTAGCCTTTTTTATATAAATTATAATAATTAAAAAGTATAATATGAAATTAACCTTTCATCTAAATTAAAACATCAATCTTAGATAGTTATTTACTATTATACTTCCTTTCTTACATTAGGGTTGCCGCAATTATTTTTTGGCAGCACTGGCATCAACAATAGTTTGGCGATTTTTTACGGCCGTCAAAACCGAATAGTACCTAATTTCTTAATAAAAATTGAAGTATACAATTATAAAGTAAAAGAAAAATATGTACTTACATTTTTTGGTACTTTTCCGTTTTGCCGGCGCAAGCGATAAAGTCGCCAATAATGGTACAACCGATGCCAAACGGAATATTCTCGCTGGTAACCTTTTACGCCTCATTTTCAAAACAAGTCGCAGCTTTTTCCTATCAAATTGATTGTTTCTTTCAATACTGGCACATAATTTTATAGAATTTTTATCAGATAGTTCAGTTTTATGTCTAAGGCCATTTTCGGTAATTAAATCAATTAGGATGCAATCATAGCGCTTACTCGAAGCCGAAAATATAGAAAAGGTAAAGTCAAGGGTTAAATTCATCAATTCTAATGAGAATGCATTAGCGAAGTAAAGCACTGCAGTTTTACATAATTTCTGAGTAAGCTATTCGTACGAATTGAAATATTTCTTGCATTTAAACTTGTGTTCCAAATTAAGATTTAACATGAAATTAATGTAGATAATTACTGAGAGCATTAGATTTTTGTAGAGTAGAGTACGTGACATGAGATCGCTTGGGGTCACGTGATATGAACCGGCGAATCAGGATGTTGAACCATGAAAGCATAGTAAA